CATCTGACTCTGGTCCTAAATCATCAACACCTTCAAGAGGGTCGGAGCTGTCTGCACTGACGTTGTTCTCTCCTTCTTCATCGGAGGGGTCACTAACTGGTGCTAGCAGGACAGCTTCCATCTGATCCAGCTCATGAAAGGCACCTTCATCAGCTCCATAATGGTAGTTGTGAAAACTACCGCTGCCTGATTGGAAGTAGTACTGAAGTTGGTTGGGGAGGTCCGGTTGAACTTCTTCTTCATATGACGAGAAAGATTGATGATGACCTTCACCTTGCTCTTGGTACTGAAAATATGAATGAGGATCATGGTAACTTTGGTAGGGATGATCGCCATATAATTCACCTCCACCATGGATACCAGATGTTTGACCGTGTCCAGAATGACCTCCAACGCCAACGGCCGCCACGGTGTAAACGAACATCTCGGCTTTGGAAAGATTGTTGGACCTCAAGAATTCGAGCATGGAATCTACTTCATCCTGAGTGGTTATGAGATATTCCTCGTGCCACAATGACCCACTTTCTCTGTTTGGATATCGGTACACCATACGATCAACTCTTCTCATGCCATCCATGCAAGTAACGTTAGTGCACATTTGATGGAGGTCTTCAAGCATCGGTCTGGTAGCGACCTTTATTTTCTGAAAATTGCCACCGACGTAGGTGACCCCCTTTCCGGTCTCTTCCGTGTAACCATTCCACCGTAAGCCAAGCGTGAACTTTTGGAATGCCATCTGCAAAAAAAAAAACCGTAGTTTAGTTAATATCATAAAAATCACAAATCACAAATCACAATAAAAAGTAATACAAAATAAACTTACGAGTTAACGTTAATCGCAAAAACACTAAAGAAATATAGAGCTACAACAGAAAATTCAAAAGGGAGAAGGAGAGATGTGAAGAGAAGAGGTTTCCCGGGCTGTCTTTTATAGGCAAAATCACTAATGAAAACCGCACCTTAGAGGTGCGGTTTTCATCTGTCATGCAGCCCCACGTCTGTCAATCTGCATGGCTATATGTTTGGTGTCGGAAAATAATTGACACGCAAACCGCATTGGGGGGTGCGATTTGTGTTGCCAAAACCGCACTTTGAGGGTGCGGTTTGTTTTGGAGAAGCAAAACCGCATCCCCAAAGTGCGGTTTTGCTAGGTCAGCACAAGACCGCATCTAGGCCATGCGGTTTGGTTAGGTCAGACACACCAACCGCATGGCCAATGTTCGGTTTGTCCCAGAATCATAAACCGCACCTGAAGGGTGCGGTTTATCTATAAAACGCACCTTGGAATTGGAGGTGCGGTTTTAAAAAAGGGTGCTATTTTTGTAAATATTTTTGGCTGGGTGCTATTTTTGTAATTTTTTTAAAAAATGTGCTATTTCTGGAAAAAACACTACTTAAAACTATATATATTGGTTAAGTTTTTCAACTTTTAAACTTGTATTTTGATGATATTATTTTGTGTAGTTTATGAGTAATAAACTTAGCTCCCTCACTGTCAGGAGTTTTCTTTTCTAATTTATTTCTATTTATTACTATACCTGGCACATAGAACGTATCGCCATCTATGGTGGCACATCCGAACATTCCTTTTTTTTTGTAGTGTAGAATCAGTGGCGGAGCCAGCATTTCAAACCAGCCCTGTCCTTTTTGCATAACTTAAATATATAAATATCTAATAAAAGAATTATTTAATAAAAAAGAATTATATCCAAATAATTCATTCATAAATTAAAAATAACCAATTATACTATCATACTTTTCAGAAACAACTACGAAGGAATTTCATATAGTGAAAGAAGCGCAAAAACATTCGTTGTCTACACTATTATATAAGTCTCTTTCAATGTATCTTACTAAACAAGTATTAGCAAACTGGTCGCCAAATCGACTTGGAAACTTGTTCTTAATATAACTCAAACCTGAAAATGCTCTTTTTACACTTGCATTTGTAATTGGTAAATCAAAACTAGTGGGATTGCCGTTGTCGCTAGACAATTTCAGGGTTGTTGGGGACAGATCGAATAGGCATAAGGAGAAAAGAGACCCGATTAGTTCTTTATTGCAATTGGAATTTCGTTTATTGTATAATAAATTAATTTTATGTCAATTTCGGACAAATAATGAATTGTGTTGTAGTGACAAAGTACTCTAATACTACCTATACGTGTTATGTTCCATCACTAATATAAATATATATGGCATATTTTTGTTCCACCAAAATTTACCCCTGTCCCGGGACAAGGCCAAAAGGCCCTGCCTCCGCCACTGTGTAGAATCTTCATCATAATCATCAAGAAGAGCAGCCAAAGCACAAACATAGTACGGATGATCATAGGCGAACCCGCTGTACGTGGGGAGCGATTATATTATATGTTTGGAATTGGAATATTTGGCCGATCCAATTCGTCAAACTTTATATATAAGCTTAGCTTGGAATTAAGCATTCATATATGGAGCTACGTACCTAGCTAGCAACCAAAAATTACTATCATCAGAAAGATGAGTTCATCATCATCATCATGGAATAAATACAGTCACCAGCAGGTGACGATCGTGATGGTGGTGGTGGTGGCAGTCTTGTCAGTCATGTCGCCCGGAGTTCCGACCACGTCGGCTGACGCAGTTGGGATTTGCAACGGCGAGTCTTTCCCCGACGGCGATACGCGGATCTACTGTGGATTCGCTCTACTCGATAAGCTGATCGGGGACACCCCCGTGAAGAAAGGTGGGTGGTACAAGAGCCAGGACTGCGCCGACGGCACGATTCTGTACGGTTTCAGGTGGGCAGATGAAGGGGCGGCCGGGCGGGTGCCTTCACGATGCCAAGAATTATATCGCCTACAGAAATTGCTACCACCGCATCGGAGGTACGAGTTTGTAGTTGGCGAGATTATTGTCTAAAATATGAATTAACCATCAACTTGGGGTATTAATTATGATTCTCAAAATTAAATTTCTTATGGTTTGGTCCTCTTGGTATGTTGAATGTACAAGTACGGCCTATGATTTTGCCATTAGTTAGAATTTTAAGTATATAATACCATGAGGGTGCATAAAAATTACCATATATACTTTTTATACGTTTATGTTCTTCCTTTTCGGTCCATAATAAGTATGGTGTGATGCCTCAGGACAAAAGAAGCATGGTGTGATGCATTGTAATTTGAATAAAACTCATGTAATGGTTGGCACCCATACATAAGGATTTACGTAACAATGTTTTATAAGAGTTACGTACATTACAAATACATTATGTAAACCATATAGTAAGATAGTTATTTTTTAATTATCAATTGAAGACAAACATGCTTAATAGCTTTTCTAAAGTTAGCTACTTTTTACATAAAATTCTAATCGAATGTGATACTTTCCATTTGATTTTATTATTAGACCACACATAAAGATTTACATAACAATTTTTTTATAATAGTAATGTACATTACAGATACATTATATAAACCTTATAATGAGATAATTTATTCTTAATTATCAATTGAAGACAACGTATTACGTAAGTCTTGTCGTGATTATTATAACATCACCGAAAACTTATGAATGGATCATTTGTTATGCTTCAATTGAACGTAAGTTTTTCATATTATTATCAACTAGATTGTTAACCATTTTATCCATTTGCATTACACGAAAGTTATGTAAGGTAAGTTATTTTTTACATAACTGCTTAATCAAATCTTACACTTTTCATAACTTAATTTTTTTATTATTAGTTATAGTTTCTTAACTATTGACTAAAACATTCACCATGTCATCACTTTAAATTACAAAATGATTTTGCAATGTTAATTAATTTTTGCATAACCGTTTGATCAAATGTAATACTTTTGATAACTTGATTCTATTTTATTGGTAGACCACACATTATGAAATATTTACATCACAACATTCTATAATAATTATGTAAATAATAAACAAATTATGTATAACTTACGGAGTGATAGTAATTTTTTATGCATCACTTGAACAAACTTATAGCAAAGTGATTCATACATTGAGTAAATTTTATGGATATATCTTACCCGATTTTTGTAAATTAATTGATTTCAAATAATATTATTAAATATTAAAAAGTATATAATTGGTTTCTTATTGTTCTGAACCACGGGCCAAAAAGCTAGTAGTGTTAACAATGCCTACCTAAACGTTAATAATGTTTCACTAAATTATTCATACCAAATTTGTAAACCACAATTATGAATATTTTAAATCAATAGCATTTATTGATAATGTGGTTAAAACATTAATAATTATGTTAAAATAATTGATAATCGTTTTATGTTTCATTAACAATGAAACGTCAAATTGGATGACCACGTTTTCCCCCAAGTAAAAACAAAGGGAAAAATCGTTAGAAACCTCTACCAAAACCCTTCCAGACAACACTTAGTGAAGCCACCCTACCCAGAATCTCTACAGAAGATAGCAGCAGGGCTTGTTTTGCCACTCTATAGGCAGTCCAGTTGACAGTTTGTGGGACCGGCCTAAAAACTAAACAAGAAGAACACGAACACAACAACCGAATGCAATCTTGAGGTAAGGAAACGCCCACCGAATCTTCAAAACATCTACCATGAAAAGGTGAAACAACCACGAAGTTGCATGATGGACGAGGCATCAATTATGGCAAATGGGGATGGGCAACAATTCATCTGAAAATTCAAATCACGTCAAAAAGTTCAAATTACAACTAAAAATACTCCATTATTTGATAACCATCATTTAATTCGTCGTATGAACACACAATACTTTATTGTTTAATCATCATCAATCAAACCAATTTCAAACTCTGCAAAATTTACAGGTTTGAAGTATATGTAACCTTTTAACGTTACATATGTATGCTCTTTGTCATCTAGAAATAGAATTACTTGTGCACAAGTACACAACTACACATGAGTAGCAATGTTTTGAACTGCTAGAAATTCTAGCTTAAAAAGGTTAATCATTCATAGCTAGACAACACCAATGGTACCAAGAGAGATGATTTCAGCAGTTTTGGCACACTCTACTCTTTGTTTCCCATTCCGAGCTTTTTAACTTCGACTCTACTCTTCTTTCTGAACTACGTTCTCCCTTTTCTCACCCCAATTCAAACTCAGACTCTTCTCCACCTGTAATCATGGCCGATACGAGACCTCATCATCATGTGTTGCTTTTCCCATTCATGTCGAAAGGCCACACCATCCCAATCCTTCACCTAGCTCACCTCCTCCTCCGCCGTCAACTCTCCGTCACCGTCGTCACCACTCCGTCGAATCTCCCCTTCATCGCTCAATCTCTTCCCAACACCGCCGCATCGATCCTCCAAATCCCGTTCCCTTCCCAATTGGACGGAATCCCAGCTGGGATTGAGAGCACTGATAAGCTCCCATCGATGTCCCTCTTCCCCCAATTCGCCCTGGCCACAAAGCTAATGCAGCCAGACTTCGAGCGCCTGGTTGACAATCTCCCCCAGCCAGTTGACTTCATGGTGTCGGATTCCTTCCTATGGTGGACTTTGGAGTCTGCGAACAAGTATGGATTCCCGAGGTTAGTGTTCAGTGGTATGTGTAACTACGCCGTATGTGTGTTCAGAGCTGTGAACCAGAGTGGGCTTCTTTTGGGGAATGAATCGGATGATGAATTGATCACTGTTCCTAGGTTTTCATGGATTAAGTTGACCAAAAATGACTTCGAAAGGGATGCTGGGGATTCGGAGATTGTAATCAAGTCGATAACGGCATCCAAAGCCAGTTATGGGTATGTTATCAACAGCTTCTATGAGCTTGAACCGGTCTTTGTGGATTCATTTAATAACGTCATCTCCAATGGACCTAAAGCTTGGTGTGCTGGACCACTCTGCCTATCCAAGTCAACAACACCGGTTAAACCCGACATTCGTCAGAAACCCAATTGGATTCAGTGGCTGGATGAGAAGTATGAGCAGAAAAGATCAGTTCTTTTCGTTGCATTTGGTTCACAAGCTAGGGTTTCAGCTGAGCAGCTGAAGGAGATATCAGTTGGGCTAGAGAAGTCCAATGTGAGCTTCCTGTGGGTTACAAAGGAGAAAGAATCAGAATTGGGAGATGGGTTTGAAGAGAGGAATCGTGGTAGGGGGATTGTGGTGAGAGAGTGGGTGGATCAAATGGAGATACTGAACCATCCTAGTGTGGGAGGGTTTCTAAGCCACTGCGGGTGGAATTCGGTGCTGGAGAGTGTGTCAGCAGGAGTTCCCATTCTGGCATGGCCAATGATGGCCGAGCAGCATCTGAATGCGAGAATGGTGGTGGAAGAGCTGAAAATTGGAGTAAGGGTGGAGACAAGCAATGGGTCGGTGAGGGGGTTTGTGCAATGGGAAGGGTTGGAGAAGAATGTGAGGGATTTGATGGAAGGGGGAAGAGGGGAAGAAGTGAAGATGAAGGTCAAGGAGTTTAGCAGGAAGGCAAGGGAAGCTATGGAGCTAGAGAGAGGATCGTCCTGGCGCACACTAGACTTGCTCATCAAAGAAATATGCAGCAAAGAGACATAGAGGTGAAGATTCTTATTACTCGTATACATGCTATGGCCTATGGTCATATATTCTCATCTGGCAACCAGAGTAATAATGTCAATAGTACATTGTACTGGACACTGATAATTCTTGTGTAGCTTCTTCACTGTAATGAGCTGGGTTGCATTGGTTGCTCCCTAATTATCTGTCTCTGAGTGTGATGGCCATGGCCCATTGTTGACTTGTTGTTGTCCTGAGGAATAATCGATCGGCATATACATATACATGAATCATTCTTAAATTTCCAAAGGTCAAAGCACCAAAATGATAGCTTAACATGAGCTCAGCATTTATCAGTCACAGACATTAGCATTTGCAATATCATTCATTTCTTTTAAAGCTCCATACACCAGATGGCACCATTGCTGAACTTCAATTTTATTTTCTGTAGGATCCCTGCAAAGAAAAAAAAGGGTCAAGAGGAAAGAGTCAGAAAGACAGCCTATGCGGTACTGCTCGTGGGTCTTTGGGAATTGTTGATACCAAGGTTTCCAGGCTTGTTAACGACAAACCTTTTCACGTATTTACCAATAGCAAGAAGCGATCTTCCCATTGTCAATCATGCACTATGCTGTTCCTCACCTTTTCAACCCTCAAAACGCCGAATCACGGAATCTTGTTTATACCCCATACACAGATTCATAAGAATCCAAGAAGAATCTATTGATTTTGGCCTCAACCATACCGAGTCCGAAACCCAATCATTCCTCTCTTTAATGTTCTGCTTCTTGTCTGTTCTTCAAAAGTTGCGTTCTTTCTCTGTTTCTAATGTCACCCATCATCTTTTTTTCAGATCTATTGTCACCTTATCTAGTTTCTGATGCACAAACCGGAGGTAAAGACCATGTTCTGCTTCAGAAGAACGATGATCATGCTCTGTTTCTTCTTCATCGTGACGACAGTTCTTTCAGAAAGTCCTGACGAAAGAAGCTGCATCCTGAATTTCCCATTTCCATCATCGCCGAACTTTCAACTGACCTGCGGTCATGGAAACTGGGGCGGATTCCTCAACAACTGTTGCGGATCGGCGTTTCCAGGGTACTTATATGCCCTTGGGAAGCGCGCAAACCAGACAGATGGGTCTTCCCTATTCCTGAACTCCAGCCAGCAGACCAGTTGCTTGTCTGAATTGTCGCGTCACGAGTTGGATTCATTGAGCTGCGGGATCGAGAAGCTGACAGCTGGCGGTGGAGGGTGCTCCGACTACTCGGTGGCGGATGTGGAGGCGAATCTGGGATCGGAGCTAAGGAATCTGGAACAGGGTTGTTGGTTTCGGGAAGGTGGTTCTTCTTCATGTGGTTCTTGTGTGAGGATTTGGCGGGGAATTGGCGGCGGGAGTGGGAGTGATGTGTGCCGTTTTGCGGTGCTTGTTTCTATGACTAGCCGCCGGATTGATGATGAAATTGGTGTGGAGAAGGTTTATAGTTGCCTGGAACAGCAACGGAATGAGTATTTCTCTGGAAATGGTAAGTTTATCCTGTTGATTTTACAGGATCGTGTTTAGGATTTTTTTCGTAATTCAAGTTTTGTGATTCAGCTTTTGGGTAACCTTCGATATCAACAGTTGAGGATTTTTCTCAGTAACTAAAAGTTGTTTCCTGCTCATTTCCTTCAGATGGGTCAGCTTCAGGAGCAGGGGAAAGCAAGAGAAAAAGTAGAAAAGGTAGAGTCTCTCTCAACTAATTTGTTCCGCCAATTCTAACTAATTGTGCAAATTACGTGCTCACTTTTGTGTCACGAGCATGTACATAAATGGTATCAAATTCATTTTTTGAGCTTCTTCGAGTTACTACGACGAACGCTATAGTTTTTTATGTTAACAATCCAAATGGCAGTCACAGTGGTTAACTATCTCATCAGTCTAACAAGGAGCTGTCTTTTTGGGGTGCTTGAATCAGATTTTTGGATCCTTACTGGAGTTGTCACCGTAGTTATGGCCTCCCTAATCATTGCGATAAGCATTTTTACAATTCGATTCATTCTGTCAAGGAAACGGGGAACCAACACAAATTTGATCACCAGAAAAAGTGGTACAGAACTTTCAGCTCACTTTCTTTTCACAAACTTCTGCTTGCCTAAATCCGTAAAAAGCTAGAAGTCCTGATTCTTTATAAGTTACAGGTTTTCAGGAGATGAAACTAGATGATTACCCGTGTCCGAAGTTCACAATCAAGGAGATCTATAACGCTACCAGCAACCTGAGCATAACCAATCTCACCGGAGAAGGAGCTGCAGGAAAAGTTTACAAAGGCATACTACCGAATACCGGCCAGAAGGTAGCAATCAAACACATCATCAATGATGGAAATGCAGAAACCGTGGTGAGGGAAGTCACCAGCTTGTGTCATGTCAGACATCCTAATCTGGTGGCCCTTCTTGGATGCTGTGTTGGAGACTATGAGTGTTTCCTCGTCTATGAGTTCTGCCCCAACGGCAATCTCTACCAGTGGATCTTCGGTACTCCATTTCGAACTCGACAATTCGTCTCAATGTTCCTGGTTTTTTGCGGTCATTTGCTGATGTTTGTGTAGGCAAACTTTGATAGGGAAGGAAAAGTGCTTATCTTGGACCAGAAGGCTCGAGATTGCAATCGATAGTGCACGAGGTCTCTGGTTCCTCCACACATTCTCTGAAGGGCGTATTGTTCATCGCGACATCAAGGTATCGAACTCGGCTGATTGATCAATTATTAAACTTGATGTGTCTAAAGTCGTTCAAAGCTTATAACAAAATGCTTTGTTATCTTTGGTTTGTTGGGCAGCCTACGAACATTCTTCTAGGTCCTCATTTTGAAGCAAAGCTCTCGGACTTTGGACTGTCGAAGGTTATGGAAGATGGGGATATTCAAGTGAGCTCTGAAGTGAGAGGGACGTTTGGTTACGTCGATCCTGAATACCTGAACAACCGTCAGGTTGATTCGTCTGGAGATGTCTACAGCTTTGGAGTTGTGCTGTTGCAGATCATCTCGGGAAAGAAGGTCATCAATATGAATATGAAAGAGCCACTTCCCCTGCATAAAATGGTAGGATTATCAGAACCTATAAATCCTTCTAAAATTCCTAGTTCAGTCAGGATTTCTAATCCTATTCAGACAAGAACTTTTAAATGCATACAATGATAGCATAACTATGATTAAGCTGTTCTGAGAATTGGCATTTGATCGTAATGTCTCAGGCAAAAGCTTTCACCAAAGGAGAAAGCATGCTGGAGTTTGCAGACCCTAAGATGACGGGAGACTACCCTTCTGAAGCTTTCAAGCTTGTATTTGAGCTGGCATTGTCATGCACAGGTATCAAGCAAGATAGACCAAACATGGAGAAAGTTTTAATCAAATTAGAACAGGCCCTTGCCTTATCAACAAAGCGGCAGAATCCCATTCCTTCAACCTCACCAGATCAGATCTCAGTATCAGAAAGATTTGAACAGTCAGATCTTGATACATGACAAAACAAACTCAGGTCAGCCAGGTGAAAGCTCCCAATGCAGGTATTCTTCATTGTAATGAGCAGATAGAGATTCTTGTTCATAACATCTAATGTAAAAAAAAATATACTCAAATTGAGGTAAGGTTTAATAACAATGCTGGGATTCTACCCAAAAAAAAAAAAAAACAATGCTGGATTCTGCAGAGCATCTACAACAATCTCAGATTTCAGTTACCTTTGAATTCAATACTCCAACGGAGTTAAATGACTCGTAATTTCTAACAATCACTTAACATCGCGTGTCAATACAATATGTTTATATCACAAGCGATAGCAATGTGAAGTTCTGTGTTTAGCAATTTTGTATTCCTATCAGTAAACTAGTATACATTCACACAAAAATGTTAGCACATTGCACAAAGCTCCTAAACTACTGCACTTTCTTACGCTCATTCAACTTTACCATCCTCAATAGACAAACTGTACACTCTCTACTAGCTAAACATCATGGTCAGTGTAAAAATTGGGCTCATCAGGCTTAAATAACTGAGGCATCTTCAAGCTGGAAGAGGTCCCTGTTTCAGCCCCATGCAGCCCCTTCTGCTTCCTCGTATTGGCAGCAAACCTAGAAGCCAACATCGTAGCTCCGAGCCCTCTTTGATTCGCACCTGAAACCCCATCCACATTTTCATCCTCGTACTCGTCCTCTTCAGAGTCATCATCCTCGTCCTCGTCCTCGCTGTAGTAGTAATAGTCCGCATCCAGAACAGGCAAGTACCCTGAACCTAAGGGGCTCTCCCTCCTTGTCAGCTCCTTTGTCAGTTTCCTCTTCTTGAACCTCCTCCAGACGACCTGTATCAAGCAGGCTGCCCATGTCCGCCACTGATGGGAGTAGTACCTGAAGGCATGCTGAATTCTCTTGCTCTGCAGTCGCTTGAACTGCAAGGCAACAAACTTCAGGTCCTCTGCCTGGAGGGCAAAGGCCTCCACTTCTGTGAGTGCCTTCACTGTTCTGGTGGAGGATGGGAAGTTGAGGCTCGATGTGGGCATCAAAGCCCACGTCAGAAGCTCCTCGCCGCAGAAATCACCTGGGCGGAGGGTGATCGAGTTGAAGAACCCTGTTCGGCCTCCATTAGTCGTGGAGCTCTCTAACTGGCCTCTGATTATGAAGAGCATCTCGTTCACCGGGTCTCCTTCTCGAACAATGTAGGTCCCTTCCGTGTTCAACGACGAGAACAGTCGCTCGCAGATTGCATCCAGGAGCTGGTCGTCCATCTGAGAGAAGAACGGGACCTGTTCAAAAGAATTCGAGTTATTGAGACGAATGAAGTTTACAGAGTTGCAGAAATGTTGGGAATATAAGTGGAGGGAAGGCATTACACGGCGGACTAGGGAGAGGCAGAGGTGGCGCTGGATTTCCCGGCGGAGGTCCTGAGGCAATGACCAGAGGATTGACTCTTCGTGGACACCTCTGGTGGCGAGCCATTTGTACTGCACGAACCGGCGAATTCGCTCCGCGAGAGCTGGAGGTAACTGGCGATGCCTCATCCATTCCTCTGTATCTCTTCTCTTGATCCTCCACTCTTCCAATCTCACAGACATAGATTGCAGATTAGTCTGTCCCAAGACAAATAGTAGCAGTCAGCTCTTTATCACAGGGTAACTTAAAAGAACATTAAAGCTTGAACTTACCTGCATATTGCCAATGAGTTGTGCAGAAAGCACCAACCCAACGATACAAGTGACAATGCAGAACACATTCTCCCCCAGAAAAATGCTCGTATCCAGATTCTGTGCATACGAACTACCGAAAGACAGAGCGAAAAGCATCAAAGGGTTTTGGCATTGAGCCAGATGAAGAAGGAAAAGCAAGGATCTTTCTTTGTTGATTTCTCTTTACCTACCTTAGATTCTTGAATCCCCACCATAGACAGTACAAGTACTTCTCCACAAAAGGCGAGGAAGCAACCTCGCTGGTGAAAGCTTCAGCGAAGATCCCAAAGGCGAATCCAATGTTGCTGTTGAGAGGGTCGCAGGTCGCGAGGACATGGGTCACATTCCTCCAGTACTGCCTCTCAGGCATCACCATGGATTTGCAGTCCAGGAACTGGTTGACGCAGCCTATGTTGCCTTCATTGTTCTCCCTCGCACATGCCGTTTTCCAGCAGTAGTACTGCCGGCCAAACGACAGCAGGTACCATGTAGCTCCTAGTACCTGAATCGGCAAACACCCCCACGATTTCCAATGTCATTGAGGGTGAAATGCAGTGGAAAATGAAATGGCGGAGTGGGGTGACGCTGCTTACTTACATGACTGGCGAGGATGAAGAGGACGAGATTGTAAGCGGCACCAGCCCAGGCGGTCTTGACGATGAAGCCGGTGGTCTTGACGATGCGCTGGTGGAGAGGGAAGATGACGAACATCCTGGGAATGTATTGGATAAGAACTATGAGCGAGAGTGTGTTGTTGGCGTAATCTGCCGTGTGGTTTCTCGCCACTGGGATTACTAGCCATATTACGATCTGTAGAAAGAAACACATTTCTTGATTAGCAATAGCAAATTCCAAATATATGGTTTCCTTCCGCCAATCTCCATCCGATCAAGAAACATTCATTTCAGGTTAAATCACCTATCAATTGTCGAAGTTAAATCAGCATTTGGAGAAAAATAATAGTTACCATTGGCATTTTGGATAAAGAAGTTAGAAGCTTAACCTGAGGCAGGGGAAGAGCGGCGGCGACGTCGATGACGAAATCGGACCTGAGGTAGCGATGAGCAATCTCATTGGAATCCATGACGAGCTCGCCGCGGCCGAAAACGCGCGTATTGGGCGCGACGAAGGCGGTGCGGAACTTGAGCACAATGTGGAGGATGAAGAACAGATCAGCGATGGAGCGGTAACAGGTGATCTTGACGGCGAGGTGGTGGTCGAAGGAGAAGCAGAGGTCCTTGGCGACGACCAAAGGGAGGAAGAAGTAGAGCGGGTCGATGAACAAGGCGAGGATGGAGGTCAGGAGGAAGACGTGGTTCCAGTACGTCACGATGTCGCTGTCCGGGTCGAGGATCTGGTACCGCCATAGGATGAGGAGCGGGTGGGGCTCGCCGTTGGGAGGGGAGGAGATGGCGGCGATGGTGTTGATGAACGCGGTGGGGAGGCGGTGCTGGAGTCGCCGGAACCGCCGGCGGAATTTGGCGGTTTGGGTGTAGTAGACGAGGTCTCTCATCTTTCCGCCATGGAGGGAGAGAAGGGGAATTCGAGAGAGAACGGTTAGAAGGGAAGAATGAAGGGAATTTGTGAGGAAGGGGAAAAACTGTTTTTTTGGCGAGGGAACGGAAGAGAGGGAGTGAATTTCGGAGGTGGCGGGAAAATGTTGTGACGACTAACGTGACATGTAATTCCAAATGGGCGGGGGGGAAATTCGGTCCATATTAGACTTAACCAACCACTCCATATAATCTGATTTTAATTTTGTTATGTTTTGTTTAAAGTGAGACTTAATTGAAATAAATTTGATCACTTCAAATGTGTTTTGGTTCAACTTTGAACAATATTTATCCATTATATTTTACTTGAATTATTTTCGATTCAAATTGATTCTAGATCAATACGAACCATACCATCTCACATGACATGCGATTTAGAGGAAATAATTGTCATGAACTATTTGGTTTTCAATAGTTCGAGTTATTAAGTGAATGTTAATTATGAATATTATATATCAAATATTTTTTTAGATAAGGGTGATATGTGTTTGTCATCTTATACTTGATAAACTTGAAACCTTCAGGTTCAAGACTAGTGATAGTACTATTAGACCAAACACTTTGTTCGCATATTATATATCTAACTCATGTTTATATCAAACATTAAAGTTGGGAACAATAGAGATTTAAATACACGACCACTCAATCAAATTAATTGTAATATCATAATATGAAATTTTTAGTCATTATAACTAGAGCTCTTAGAAAAGGTCAATTATAAATTTTATATCATTATATAGAAATTCATTTGTCAACCGTTATAACATGCGACAGCTTCTGTTATTATATAGAACATGAAAGCTGGGTACGCTTTTTCACCCATTTTTGTTACCACTGTTTCAATTCTTGGCTTCTTGTGGGAGGCGAGTAGAAGAGCTTCCCCCACGCACTTCCTTCTCCGACCCCCAAATGCCATATCTCCTCTTTCCTGCCTTCTCTTATGCCTTACCCTAGATTCAGTGACCGCAAGTTAGTGCCCATACCTTGCAGGCAGCAATATAGAGATGGTACCATTCCTAGCTGCTTTGGCCCCAAAATCAGCATTCAGCCAGTAGTGTTTCAGTCATGTCTGTCTTTTTACCATCCATTCCGCTTTTCCAGATTTTCCAATCCCTTCACAACTGCTTGCACACGCCACCGCCCATCAATTCGGCAGCTCTCGCTTTGGGGAAGATTGATATCCTATGCCTCACCCCGTCCAGTTTCTTTCTCCTTCATATTTGATTCTTTTGTTGCTTTGTCCCATTTTCACCCAAATGCTTCGGCCAATCCTCTGATCCACTCTTGCCTCTTCTGCTTCCAGGCATGAATCACACCGTCCTTTCGAAGTTGGCATGGACGGACAAAGCTCCTACCCTCAAATTACGTCTCCTCCATACATGGATGGCTGGAAACCCGTACCAGTCAGAAGGCTTCTCTGAATACTTACGCTTTCGACAGGCGAATTGGTGACCTCTATCCGTTGTTGGTTTCTTCTACCCGGCACTTATACCTGCCCATTCTTATTTTGATGTTTCCTCTTCTTTTCCTAGGGGTGCTGGGACTGAAATTGACGCATCTCGCGGCCCAGCTCAAAGAAGTTCTTGCTGTTCGGAATCAAACAGTTCTCCCAGTGTGAGTCCAGAAAAGGTTCGGCACCCTGCTCCAGTGGTGTCTTCTCCATTTTACTTCAAACCCTTCATGTGTCCCCTTAGATGATGAGGACTCGAGCTATTGTCCTGATAGCTTTCAGTTTTGCCAGTTGAGGACCTATCCGACATCGCTTCTCGACTTGACAGTTAGTTGGTTTGTCTTCGGTCCTTTCCTTTGAGCTTATTCGAGTTTGGACTTGCCTACTAAACCAAATCCTTTTCGTAGATGTTGTTGGTAGGTTGGTATCTACAACGCCTGTCACCTGTTTCCAAAAACAACGGATAGTGATTCACTCCTACTGATTCAACACACAGAAAGCTCAAGCCAAAATTCAGGTTGGTTCCTTTCACTCACAAAGTTATGTAAGCCTAACTTAGTCACCTGTTACTGAGTCTTATGCAAAAGGAAGCAGTACACTGAATGTGTTCTTGCTGCCGATCCTTTTAGCAGCCTTTCAATGACAACATTGTACTGAGAGGTAAGCTGGTTTTATGAGTAATCACTGTCCATACACAACATAACATTTGTTGATTACTGATTGTCAAACGTTGCTACTTCACAGCTTTTTTGTGTTTACAAAATGTAGCTATAGTGGTCTTTGATTGAAATTATTTGTATTGAGATGTGAAAACTGATGCATTCATTTGAAGAAAAGGAATCCAAAAGAAAAACACACTTAAAGATGCTGCAAATGACATTGAAATCTTCACCTTTAGTGAACTGGGTCTCTTATTTTCCATATGAAACGTTGCATTTGGGAAGGAGTACACTCTTGCCATATCCGAAGTTCTTTAGTTCGCAGAGTAGTCTGTGATCATGCTTGCATATTGTTGTACATGATACTCGATTAGAGTTAATTAGTTAGCTGAATGCATTAAGAACTTTGCTCTCAAGAAAAATCAAATGCAGCCTCTGCAGCAGGCATTGGGGATGCTCTGAGACAATAATAATGGACTTCCTGGTATATGCTCATCAGAGGAAGAGGTCCAGGATCCTGTATATCATTTTAAGTAACAATTTCCATGGGTTTCGTAACAAATTGTTTTGCTTTTCATTGCTTCTTTTTCTTAATGATTTATACCTTATGTTTATCCTAGGGCGTGCTGGTGCAGGAAGTGGCATCCTGTTAGGTCACTGAACAGGTTCTCAACGTTTTATGCCTGCGATTCATCAGCTTAACTCTACTAGATTTTCATGCTCATTCTCTCTCAATGACGGTTTCTTTTTGTTATTAATTATTGGATTGACTCATAGGAACTGTTTTATCTTTGTATTGTTCGACTTATGTGAACCAGGCTTCGGTTTTGCAGCAGGGAGATACTGACTGGTTGCTAGCATACTGGTTTAGGCTGGGGATGATATTTCTATTATGGTCTTGACAAGGAGGCCACAAATGTTGAAGAACATGTTGATCTTTGACCTTGGTGGTAGTGCGTTTGATGTTTCCCTGGTAACAGTTGAAGAGGGTATTTTTAAAGTGAAGCGAGTTGCTTGAGACACTCACCTTGGTGAGAGGATTTTGACAGCAGATTGGTCAACCACTTAGACTAGGAGTTCACGAGGAAGAACAAGGAGAGTCTTCCTATAATCTCTTTGCTTTTTTCTTGACTGAGATGTCATCCAATTTTGGATTAACTTCTTGAATTGTACATAGCTTTATGCTCTGATTATTCACCTATGCTTGCAGTGTATATATACATACATACCATGATTCAAGCAATTAGCATATCAGGTTGGAAGTTGGGTTTGTTTTGCCCCTCCATCCTGGTTGCACTATTGTCTGTTCTATTCCTATCAAGTGTGTCTAAAAACAAAAACTTATGAAATAGCCTATATTCATTCAATTTGTACTCTTGATTCTTTCCTAAGGGCTTCTAAAAATGCATGATACACCAGCATTGTATGTCGTGGAATAAATAATATTATTTAATTGTTGTTTGTGCCATACATTGCATACATGACACCCATAGATTTATTGGATGCTATTGTTTTAACCTATAAAAATATTTTTTGGTAAATTGATTGCTTGAAAACCTTGCCAGTTGCCCCGTTCTCACCAAAATCCTCGCTGACTGGTAATATACAAAAACCCAATGACTGTCAAAAGGAAAAGAAAAGAATTAGACTTCCCACAAGGTCCAGTGTACCATCCTTCACCTTCCCTCTGACTTCTGAGAGCATGAAATACAAATTTTTAACCTTCCTTCTCCCTGTCGAATACTTTTCCCATACTATTCCCTATCCGGTCACACCCATACCAAATTTCTACCATCCAGAATCATCTCTCCATCACTCTTACGCCATCAACTTCTTTTCTTTCTAATAAGCCAAACTTCCATTCTCTCATCACTAATTGTTGGATGTTGCAGCAGTGGTGGATTGGTTTCAAACTTTGAAGCACAATCTAATAATAAATGTCTTAATTCTCAACCAATACTACTCATTCTCCATTACCTTGTGATCTCTTATTTGGTAGTTGTAGCTTGAGTTTTAGTTGTCTTCTGATGTTCACTTGCTGTTTCTTTGCATGAGATGTTTAGAGTGCATTATGAATGTTGGAAGATTACTGCCTTCTTAGACAACTTTTTTTACAAATTGAAAGAAGATAGTCGGGGAAGGGGAAGAGGAACAAGGAAAAGAGAAGCATTAACATCCTTCTTTTCAATTGTCGTCTTGAAGCATGGGCAACTGATTTGGGAGTTGAGAATTTGAGCCAATCTTTTTGGTTGCTTTTTAATGAACTATTAACTAACTTTAGTAAGATGGGTATGGATTGATTGAACATGTGATATTAATGAATTTGATTTGTAAAATATATTTTCTCTGGGTGGTCTCAGTATGGAACATAATAATCTAATATTTAGTAGAGTAAATGCATAAGATTTGCTTTAAGTTTAAAATAACGCTTTTCGCAGAGTTTAGTATGTCCTGATTTATGCTTTGTGAATAATTTTTATGGCATACTTGGTGTGCATAGTTTGTAACTATTTCATGTTACTATTATTGTATTTCTAAAAAAATACTACATTGCTCTAAACAAATCCTGTGGCGTAGGCACGGGTATTGATTCTAGTTCCCTTGAAAGCTCCCGCGAAAAATGACCGAATGGAACGAAAGCATATCCGAGGGAATCGCAGGTGATCGCGACGGAGGTTGTGCTTTTTTAAAAGAAACCCCTTTACGTTGTCAGATTAGTAATTGCGCCCACGTTTTCATTATGGTAGGTGATCAGAATCGCAGATGACTCAGCGCCTGCCTGCCGCCGCCGCGATAAACAAACTTGCTTTCTTTCTCCGACCGTCGTCTATCCACTCACACGCGCTCTTGTACCACTTGTAAATCCCCTCAATCATTTTGCTGGGACCGGCGTCTCTCCTCCGGTCATCCCACGTTACTTTATTGAACGATTGATTCCTTCCCATCGAGGAAAACCCAAATCAATTATTAGGAAAAATGGGGAAAGAGAAACCCAAATCAATAACTCTCTCATTATTATATCGCATCTGCTTCAGCCGCCGCTTCTCCAGCTCTCCTACTCCTCGATTCCTGCTTATATAAAAACCCCTCGTCGGTAGCCACCACCCTCCAGAAACTCGCCACCCTCCGAAAACGCTTCGGCTCTCCAGTTCGGCATTTCTCCCCTTGATCTTTCGCGTTTCTCCGCGGTCCCATCAATGGCCGGAGCCGCCGAGGGAAACGGTCCTGCCGCCGTTGATGCAGGGATGGACGGTGGTGTTCCTGGGCTTTCCGCCGTGATTCCAGGGTGGTTCTCAGAGATCAGCCCAATGTGGCCAGGTTTGCTTCCGATCTCCTGTTTTATAATTTCGATGATCAGGGAACTGCTTTGTGAAATTAGGTTTTGGTCAACGGTGGATTGTTCTTATTCTGTGGCCGGTTTCTGCAACTGAGTTTGTTGAATTTTGGGCTGGCTGATTGATTTTCTTTTTCTTTTTGGGGTTGGTGGTGTGGCAGGGGAGGCTCACTCTATGAAGGTGGAGAAAGTTCTGTTTCAAGGCAAATCCGACTACCAGAACGTTGTTGTGTTCCAGGTACTTCTGCCCTTCTCCCCCGTTTCCTGGTAGCCATGGATATACTTCTATTAATTTGGATCGTTGAATTGGTGATTGAGAGAACCGTCACTCTTGTTAACTTGCAGTCAGCTACATATGGGAAGGTTCTTGTGTTAGATGGGGTGATACAACTTACTGAAAGAGATGAGTGTGCATATCAAGAGATGATTACCCACCTCCCACTTTGCTCCATCCAAAACCCCAAAAAGGTTCACCTTTTCCACCTCTAAACATTGGAAGTTTGCTAATGATATTATGGATCACCTTTTGTTCAGCTGCCAAAAGCATGCTACTAAAAGCTTTAGGATGAGTGGAGACGCATTGCTGAATGATGTTGTGAACATTTTCTGTTTTGCAGGTGTTGGTTATTGGAGGAGGTGATGGAGGTGTCATTCGCGAAGTGTCTCGCCACGCTTCTGTTGAGCAGATCGATATGTGTGAAATTGATGCCATGGTGGTTGATGTGAGTTTAGCCAAATCTCTTCATTGTTCCTGTCTAGTTGGTGTATGTTTTTCCTGTTACATATTTGAAGTGCCTGAGCACATCATAAAGCTCTAGCTTTCCTCTATCTCAGGTCTCTAAGAAGTATTTCCCTGATGTAGCAGTTGGATTTCAAGATCCTCGTGTCAATCTCCACATCGGCGATGGTAATGCCTGCTCTTGCTTCTCTGTACCAGCCCATTTTCTGCTTCACACATATCCATTGTTAAACTCTGTCAACCCTTTTACAGGCGTCGCTTTCCTAAAGGCGGTTCCACATGGCACTTACGACGCTGTTATAGTTGATTCCTCGGATCCAATTGGTATGTGTTTGCCTTTGTCACAAACTTCAAACAGATTCAATTATTCGTTTAACTTGGAGAATGAAGTCTCATCTCATGTGGTTAACTAACTTTGATCAGGGCCTGCAAAAGAGCTGTTTGAGAAGCCTTTCTTTGAGTTGATTGCCAAGGCTCTTCGCCCTGGCGGTGTTGTTTGTACGCAAGCTGAGAGTTTGTGGCTGCACATGCATCTCATTCAAGACATTGTATCTAACTGTCGTGAAATCTTCAAGGGCTCTGTTAACTATGCTTGGACCACTGTCCCTACATATCCGAGGTATGGGACTTCTCTGGATTTTTCATTCATGGTACAATGAGATCGACTTAATTGAGCCTCAAATGCATGACATTTGTCTCCTGATTCAAGGGTTTTTTGGCAACCATCCATTGGTTCTGCTGGTTTCGAGAATGCATGTTTTCTAACATGACATTACATCCTGGTTCATGTTGAGTTAAAGCTTTCGAGTTTCATGCTATTGGGGGACTCCAGCGATCATTTTGTTTGTTGCAGTCTTTCAAACCATTAACTGTGTTCGGAAAGATACAAGAAGTTACTAAATTGTGCATTCAAAGGACATGTCAACTAAACTCACCCTAAGTGTATTCTCATTCCTCCGCATATTCTGCAGTGGAATGATTGGCTTCATGCTTTGCTCCACTGAGGGCCCAGCAGTTGATTTCAAGAATCCGGTGACCCGTGTTGAAGGTGAAGGGAGTCACCCCCAAGTTAAAGGGCCATTGAGATTCTACAATGCAGAGGTGAGTTTACTTTGCTTGCACAAACCCCAAACCTTACTCTCCTACTCCTGAAATTGTCAAAATTGCAGTTTAATTTCACATATGTTCTTTTTCTATCTCTTCCAGATTCATTCTGCAGCTTTCTGCTTGCCATCATTCGTGAACAAGGCAATTGGCTCAAAACTCCGGTGAAAGATGGAAAAACTGGAAAGGGCTTAACAAGAACAAATCACCGGACTAAACAACGCATCATGACGTATACATTATAGAGAGAGTAAAGCTGTGTGTAAGCTAAGCTACTCATTAGGGTGTAGCCATGTTCAACATTATTAAGCAATAAAAGACTGCATTTGCTTTTGCTGATTTCCCTCTTGTCTCTCTTAAATAATCTTCTCGTCTTACACAAGATTTGTGCCCCCTTGCTTCTCCGAATCAACTTTCTTCTCCAGAAACCTCCTTTTACAGTCGTAGTAGTAAACAGTACAAACTAGCCAATTCATCAGTTCCCCAAACCAAACCAACCCGCCTTCTCCAACAGCAAACAAAACCACAATAGTTCCAGATTCCTTGTTCAGATAACCATAGTACCCAAACACCATCCTCAAGAAAACCCTCCAAACCAGGAAAACAACCATGAACAGAAATCCCCTGCCTCTGCATCCCCTGCTAATATACCCTGCGACCCCAATCCCAATATATCCATGCTTCTCCTCCAGGATAGACACCACCAAACCCACGTTCCAGATCGCACTCCACTCCAAATACTTCACCAGCAGGGCACTAGCAAGCAACCCGAAAACCATCTGAGAAAGTAATCCGTTGACTGGGAAAGAAACCATTTGGACGACGAACGATGCAACTCCAGCCAATGTCAGCCAAACCATAGCTAAGTTGTAGATTGATGTGGAGTATGGCCCCCTCAATGAACCCACTTCCCGAAATGGCTTAATGAACAACATCTCCTTCAAGCTTCCTGTCTCCTTCTCGGAGTAAATCGCCGATGCTGAGTGAACTAGAACGATGGTATTTAGGAGATTCATGAAATGACCGATAGTGAAGTACGAGACGGCCGAGATGGCTAGTGTTGGAGTGAGGGATTGGATCAAATCCAAGCTGGAGTTAAGTGGATACCGCGGCGGGAAAGAGCAGAGTGGCCAATGCGTTCCGCAGATGGGATCGTATACCGCAACGAAGTTGGCTCCTGCTTCATAGATGAGCTGGTGAAGGACGAGGTGTTGCCAGAGGAAGAAACAGAATGGAGGGACTGAAGTGAGGAAGGAGAGGAGAATGAATGTGGGTTTCTTAGCTGGGATTTTCAAGGATTCCTTGATAATGCCAAGGAACTCTAGCTTGTCCTTAGCGATTAACTCGGTGCTCTCCATCATTATATTCTGTGTTGGGTTTACTGCATTGATCTCTGCAGAAGAGAAAGATGCAAGCTTTAAAAAGGAGGAAGATGACTCATGACTATAGATGAGATGTAAGATGCAAGCGAAGTCAACCCAAAGGAACTTGCTATGAAGCTTATTCTGGTTTGGTTGGCCTTTTTTGTGCATGAGTAGTGGGAGCGTTGACTGATGGATGCTGGGCCTGGTCAGCAATTCCGATGATCATGGAGATCCATCATCTCTCTCTGCAATTCATCTCTGCGCCTCTGCCAGGCGATGAGGAGGTTCAAAAAGAAACCCACCTGATTGACTATTTTGGTCTACGTAGCTACTTGACCTTGTGAAGCCAATAATACGAGATGGTAGCACGTGGCCCAAAATGGATAACTGACACTATGGGCCAACTTTTAGGCCCAAGTCTGAGTTTTTCCTCTTTAACAATTAACAGTATCATGCCTAGTCCAATATCTAATTCTAATCTAATATTTGAATCAGAAATTATCGTTTAGGTTCCTTAAGAAAAGAAATTATCGTTTAGGACAATTAATAAAGTAGTTGCATTGCTGAAAAATTGATGAACACCTTTCAGACTCCTTGTTACTAGGCTAGACATGTTGATTTGGTCAGAATAAGTAGAGAGAATGTCGATTTAGAGTCGATCTGAAGTAGCACATTCCAGTGTCTAAGTTGATATTCTTATTAGACATCCCAATAACAAGCCAATGACAAGAGTGCTTAATAGTAACCCGACAATCTCACACACCCCTCCTCCACAAGGTGTGTGTCCCGGTGAAGTACTAAATAAATAAAAGACTCAACCAATGAAAATAGTAAGACTGAATTAAAAATTATATTAGCATCAATGAATAGAATTGGGCGGTACATATTTCTAATTAAGATGATAGCAAGAGTAATTGAAGATAAATCATACTTACCGAACATGACCAATACTCCATGTTTAACCTCATATATAATCATAATTTGACTCCTACATCGTATTTTGTGTACTTCTAGACAATTTTTTCAAATTCGTTCTTCTGCTAATCATAGACGACCCCTTATTTGTTAGTTGGAATAAAAACCTACAATCGTCTAGAAATCATAGCGTATATGAGAATTCAATAAAACCTCCAAATATAGTGAAGAGAAAAGCTTTAAAAAGGCATTGTGAAGGGATGCAGACACATCTACGGTAAGTTTCCTGCAACTAGCGGGACACCGTTTGATTCAAGTTCAACCTAGATTGATCTCGGCCATCGATTTACCCATAACCCCAAATCGCCAAAATTAGTCCCCAAGCTTCCTACGATGACCTAATGGTGGTCGAACCTTCTCCCCTTTCCCCAAATCTCCGTATGACGACCGGATGGCGGTTAGGCCAGTCGTCGATTGCAGGGTCACCACCAATTCATCCTCACCCTCTCCCTGCAGACAAGGCGGATCACCATTCGTTCACCCTTTCTCTTTATCTCACCCTTCGATTCAAACTCTTCACAACACCCTCTTTCCATTTTGCTGTTCTTCTCGATCGCTTCTTCTCTGATTCCCGGAGGCAAATCGGCTGGTGGCTAGGCAAGTCCCCTGGCGACTGACCAAGTTGGGTCAGAGAATCGCTGTCGAAGCTGGTACCACTTCCGCAATCGTTGCATGCTTTCGTCTTCTCCTTCTCAATTACGAGGTTGTGAATGAAAGGAGGAGCTGCCTAGAGAGTCGAGAAGATAGGTAATTGTCCAATAGCCTTATATTGGAGATATGGTCACTGGACAACAGGTCGAGCCATCAATTCTTTTGAGTTTTGAAGGAGGCATGTGATTAAAAGAGAGTAGGGATGGCAATTTACCCACCCATGGGTATTTTTGCCCAAACCCAATTATACCCATTTATATGGGTTGGGTATGGATTTATTCTATATGGATTTGGGTAAGATTTGGGTAGGTGGAGTTGGGTTTGGATTTTATTTTTGGGTATGGATTGGGCTTGGGTACCCATCTCTTTGGACCTGCCTGTATATGTTTTTTTTATTAGGTGTTAAAATGTAAAGAGAAATTTTTAATGTATTAAAATGTAATTTTCCACATATGATGCTGGACCTATTTTTATCTTCTTAAAAACTTTAGGTACTAAAGTGTAACTTTGGCTGTCAGCAACAGCGACCATCGTGTTCCATTCCCGGCTTCCATATCTTCGTCGGCGGCGGCTTCGACGAACTTGCTGCCTCCGATCCATTCTCCGGCAACTTGGACTCCCACACGAAATCAGCCCAAGACGCGCCGCGACACGCCCTGTTGAGCGTCGCCAGTTTGCAAATCTCGACGGGATCCAAACCTTGAGGAGCATCGCCAGAAAAATACCCTTCTTCTTCTGGCTCTGTCTTGATTGGAGCTTCTTGTGGGTTCAACTCTGAACCTTTGGCCATTCCTAAACCAACACCATAAGATAGATTTCATTGATTCACACGTAATCAGGTGAAGATGAGTAAGAAACAGAGGCCTATACGTTTTCTGGTTTGGGGGAGTTGCTCTGTTCTGAGATTCCTTTCTGGCAAAACAGAGGCCTATAGCTTCTCTTCTCCCCTCTTTCCCCATTCCTGAACCAAAACCAGAAGACATACTAATGGAAAAGGACGGAAAAGTGCTGTTTGCTGGTGATATGTTCAATCATAGAGGAAACAGAAGGGGGGTGGAAATAGATGGAGAAAACAGAAGGGTCTGGTTTAGTTTATAAACGTGAGCAGTTTGGGGGAGCTGGAGGTTTCTCAACCTTGTGGCAAAGGACCAGAAACAGAGAACCACAGAAACACTTCCATATTTCTCAAACCATTGAATCCAACACTGTGCTTACAACTCTTTCAAAGCTAGTTTATAAGGGAAGGGTATTACAGAGGAACCCAACAACAGAAATGAGATACTTTGTTTTGAGTTTTGAACATAACTTCACTACATAATCAAATCAAACAAACTCCCAGATTCTTTCTCAGTCCTCATATTCCATAACTTGTTCATCATCACCGCCATCATTCTCACAGAATATGGTTTGAGTCGAACCATCAACATCAGGAGAGAAAATGGCTACACCTGCAAAATAATTAAACCATATAACAGATATAAAGCAAAAAACAATGATTGAACTGGGTTCAACAGCCTCCTTGCCTATATAAGAGTTGACTAAAAAGCAAAACAACAATGCCACTCTAAGTCGATAAATGTGGCTAGATTGAGTCTGCAAGACCACTGCTTCCCAGAAGACCATACCATACGACTAGAAGACACACTATGCTGTCCATTACTACTCTCATGATTCATAGATAGACTATCATCATTAGTTTCTGAATCCATATTTCCCTAGAAAAATCAAGCAAGCAACAAACAATCATTCAAACTAATGCAACAGTACAATCATTCAACCAAATAAGGATTAAATATGCTTCGAACAGAGACAACAATACACAATTATTCAACCAAGTGTTATGCTACAGGAAAAACACCACCACAACCAAACATTCGAGTGAGAACAATATGACTTTCTGCATTGTACTGCATATTGGGATAATGAAAACACGAGTGTAACCAAGTGAGGAGACATATTGGGGGAAAATGTGTGATTGACACAAAGCTAGAGTGGAAGAAGAACCACCAAATTCAGTAACACAAACAGAAAGTTCAATGGGTTCTCCCAGCTCAAACACGGTTCGCGAATCATCACTATTCAACAAGTTGTCCACCAAACAGAGAAACAAAGTAGCTAGCTGAACATATCAGAACTAAACAAGAGCCCAGAAAAATCCTCCATACCTCAGAGAGAGCAGCGAGAAGGAGAATCCGATTGGACAGGGACTTAGATCCAGGCTTGTTTGATGTGGTGGACGAAACAGCTGCTGCTAAGCTCACCAAGGCGAACGGTGGAGCGGCTATAGCGGGAGTCAACGGAATCCTATAGCGGGGCTCTGTAAATCCATGGAATGGAAGCCCTTTTCACAGAGGTACTACGATATGCTTTAAATCTCAATTACCAAAACCCAATTAGTCAATTACCTGGGAAGGGTTTGGGGGACGATGAATGGAGGAACTCGAAGCGGCGGCGACGTCGGAGCTAGTGGCCGGGGCGGCGACGAAATCGGGGCAGCGATGCGATTCAGTGGTCGGAGCCGAGTTCGGAGGCGGGGCGGCGACGTCGAGCTGGTGGCCGGGTCGGCGACGTCGAGCTGGTGGCCGGGGCGGCGACGTCGAGCTGGTGGCCGGGGCGGCGACGTCGTGGCTCAGCCGGCTCGTCGTCGACGAAGATGGGTAGAGACTAGAGAGGAAGAGTCGTCGACTGTGCGAGAGGAAGAGTCTTCGATTGTCTTTAATTTTTTTTTTAGTTTCATTTTTTTTTTTTAATTATTTGGGTTTGGATTTTTTAACCCAAGTTCATGGGTAAAACCCAAGTAAACCCAACATAATGGGTATGGGTATTGACCCATCTGACTTTATCCATTTACACTTTAATTGGATTTCAGACCCAACCCAAATGGGTTGGATAGTTATAAACCCATGGGTATGGGTATAATTGCCAAGCCTAAAAGAGAGCATAAGAAGTGTAGAATAGGAACAGGAATTGGAAGAGGCAAGGTAAGGTAAGGTAAGATTGGCCACGTGTTTAGGGCCCTTTTCTACGTTGGCCACGTGTGTAGATGAATAAGAGAGTTGGATTTCAAGGATTTTGGGAGTAACTTTAGTCTCTTAGACTCTTAGCTATAGCCATGGCTATTGTATTGAAATTCATTAGAAATATAAATCATAAAATTAAAATAATATACTCTAAATATTTTTTAAAAAATCATACTTTGAATTTGTCTGATTGTGATTTATGAATGTTTTCCTTCTTTTTAAGGGAAAGTAAACTCCATGAAATGAAAGGCTATAGAGAAGATGATGTATGTTTAGTTGATTAAATAGGTAGTGTGGATGTAACTTTGAAAAAATAAACATCATCATAATTGTAAAAATAAACATGAAATTGGAATAAATTCTAATTATTTCAATTTTGTTATTGTCATGGCTAAAAATAATGATGAGTTTGGATATCACATTGGAATTAAAAAAAGAAGAGTGACAAAATATATGAGAGATAAAAACTCCCATATTTTTATAGTTTTTCTTATTTTATAGGGAGTCAAAACATGAGAGTATTACTAATTATATGAAGAAGAACATAAATTCAATAGATGGAGAACACAATGGAACTTCAATCTTACCTTGCATATCTTTGCAAAGAACAAGTCAAAATAGATTTCATCAAATTTATCGTTAAAATT